TGGCATCTTTTTCTTCCCTTCTAGTCCCTAAGGAAATTGAAACAGCTTGTAGCAAGACTCGTTCTTTCCTAGGGCCTCTCAGGCTCTTGTGGATTAGTTCAGGCGGGCAGTGGTGGGCTTTTCCCCAGGGAAGTGAGCATAGACATGGTGGGAGAAAGTGCCTGGTAGCACTTCTGGGAGAGGGAATTTCAACTCCCTCTCGTGACAGATTAGCTCTAGGAGAGTCCTTTTTGCCTTCACACTTCTGCCCCCTTCCTGCCCTCTTCTTGGCTACCTCCTTCTCCATCCTCCAGTCCCCCCGATATGCCAATCTGGGCCACGTTTTTGATGGGTGTCGTCCCTGTTCGTTAAAGTTCAGAAACCATATCCCACCTTGCTCTTTTTCACTTCCTGCCGTCCTGAAGGGCTAGGCTAGGCTTCCTGGTGCATTCTGAGGATGCTTAGACTAAGGAGGTAAATGGAAGTGGGAAGCCTTGCTTAGGAGTTCTGGCCTTGACCCCATCTTCCTCTACAAATGACCCAGCGATGCACTGATTTGGGGAGGGGATGGGAGTGGGAGCTGGTTGTGGACTTTCCCAGGTAGTTCTTCCTTCCCCATTTGGCTCTTGTTCAGAGTGTGTCTGTTTTCTCCAACAGCAAAAATCCCTGGAGGACTAGAGAGAGCAGTGACGGGAGCTGTACGTCAGAACTCTTCTCTAAACTTCTTTTTTTTTTTAAAGATTGGCTCCTGAGCTAACAACTGTTGCCAATCTTCTTTTTTTTTTCCTGCTTTTTCTCCCCAAATCCCCCCAGTACATAGTTGTATATTTTAGTTGTGGGTCCTTCTAGTTGTGGCATGTGGGATGCCTCCTCAGCATGACCTGATGAGCAGTGCTATGTTCACGCTCAGGATCCAAACGAGCAAAATCCTGGGCCGCCGAAGTGGAGCCACGTACTTAACCACTTGGCCACGGGGCTGGCCCCTCCCTGAACTAATATGAGGAGGGCAATGTTAGGTAATGCTACTACTTTAATATTAGCGTCTGACACTAGACAGGGAGGAGAGGCAAAGGTATGTATCCCCAACAGATCCCCCGAATGGACTGGTTGTACCTTTGTCAATATTGAATCAAGAGCCATAAAATATTTCATCTCCTTTAATCCAGTAATCCCACTGCTGGAACTGTGTCCCAAGGAAACAGTTCACAGTAAGACAAGATAATTGTAAGTATACCTGGGTCCAGATCTTAGTGTCTAAATACCATTATCCACAAAAAGGTGCCAGAGAGTCTTGGAGAAATGGCTGATTCACGTCTCGGGCAGGGAGACCGCTTGTTGTCAGGAAGTAAAATGGTGCTTAGAGGATGAAGAGTTTTGAATGGAGAGCTAGTGAATTCGGCTTTGGATTGAGTTTGAGGTACCTGGGAGATCCTCAGCCGGAGATGTTCAGCGGGTACTACCCAGACGTGAGTGTAGATCTGTATACATATAGAGACGTGGTACAGATGGGTTACAGGGCCAAATCCTTCCTTGAATCACTTTGCAGAAAAATTCTCTCAGATGCTTGGTGAAAATGCTGATTTCTGGGTCCCACCCGAGGGAACAAAACAGCTGCATTTTTAAGATATTCCCAAAATCATTTTTTAAGCACATATCAGTCCAAGCAGTGTTTATGTAAAGGACAGTGAAAAGGCAAGAGGCCACTATGGGAAACTGAGAAGAGCTAGAGGAGTAAGTGGCGACTCCGGAGAATGCTGTGCCACACAGGCGAGAGACAGGGTTTAAGGTGCCCTGGGCAGGGCCGCGGAGGGGTTGGGAGAGAGCCAGCAGCGTGTGTGTAAAAGGGGAGGCCATAAGAGAACAGAAGAAAACAGGTAAAACTTTATCTGATCACAAGATAGAGACCTTAGTAAGCATAAAAGCAAAGAGAGAGAACAGAGTATTGCCGGGTTTGACTGCACGAACGTTAATACTTTAGTGTGTCAAAACCATCACCAAAAAAGTAAAGTGAGAAGTGGGGAAATCCTGTAGTGTATGTGATCAAGTACAGTAATATCATTAGTATATGAAACTTTTATAATCCATTCAGAAAACTATGACTATTCTAGTAGAAAAATGAGCAAACACCTGAATAGGCACTTCCCAAAGGAAATGCAAACGTCACTATATGTGAAAAATGAACATGAAATACATAGCAAAACAAAAAAGAAAGGCCTTTTGTTTAGATTCCACATATAAGTGAGATCATACAGTATTTATGCCGTTTTTAACTCCTCAAATTGGCAAATACTTTTACGAAAAAGTATAGTAATGCTTTGTCTGGCATAGAGAGTCAGTGAATTAAGCAAAGTCATCCGCTGTCAGTGGAAATGTATTTGGTGCAACTTTTCTGAAAGGCATTTGGAAGAATGCATCAAAAATTTAAAACTATTCCTACCCTTCGAAAGCAATTCTGCTTCTAGGAACGTTATCTTTCACATTTGTGTAAAAAGATGTTCCTTCCAGTATTATTGGTAATATCAGCAAACTAGAAACAACTTAAATATCCAACAGTAGTGATTTGATTCAATATGGAAGTCAGAGAATGCTATATTTTCTGAAGTCTTGACAAAGCATGCTTTAGTAAAAGGATCCTAAACCTGGATACCAAGCAGTAATAAAAACAAGTGAAGTAGTCTGGATATAAAGTGGAGACGTGGAGAAGAGAAGAATTATTTCACTTTCCTGTTAATTCTAGTATTAAAAAAATAACAGAAAAGAGTGCAAGTAAAATTATAAATAGCAACTGACAATCTCAGATGGAGGACAGTAGGGAGTGGTGGGGACTGCAGTGAAGTGGAGAGCACAGACCCCATTTCACAGGAACAGCTGTTCCTCAGCTCCAAGTGGTTGAACACTGTGTGAACCAATCTAACTATTTCTTGGTTACCAATTTACCACCTTTGCTTTAAAGTTTTTATTAGCAAGAAAATGTTTATAGTTGTCAAGTGAAAAAAAGTAGCTTATGCAATTGTATATTATATTAGTATATCATATTATGATGTTGAGTTGCATCATACTTGTGTATTCTTGTGTGTCTGCACATCTTAATATATGCACAGAAAAAAGTCTGGAAGGAAATAAACCAAAATGTGGCTTTATGTAGGTCTTATGATCACAGGCTCTTTTAATTTTTTTTGGTAATAGTCTCTGCATTTTTAATATTTTCCATAACAAATGGAAAATACATACATAGTACTTTTAAAAACAACTAAACAAACCACAAAAGTTATTTTGAAAACACCTAGGCTCAGTTTTGACACCTAGAAAGAATGTTCCTGAAAAGCACAGATGGCGTCCTCTCTAGCCAGTAGCATTGCCAGCTTTTAACCTGGAGCTGACTGAGTCTGGTAGCCTGGTTATTTTTATTATTTTTAAATTATTACTGTATTGTTTTTTAAATGCTCACTGGCTTTTGGCAACCTTGTGCTCATCACCATTGGCACGGAGTTTATGGAAGTGTGAGCCAGTGACAGTTTACCCATCTGAGTTTTTAAAAAGTTCCATTTCTTCATAGTTATAGATGCATACTTAATCAAGACAATTATTTAAATATATAATGTCGACTCAAGAGCTGGCAGTGCTGTTAGTTTAAATAGCCCAAATCCGCGTGCCGTACTTTACTTGTTCAAACGTCCTTATTTTTACGGTTATGAAGAAGTTGCTGTTCACGCAGGTATCTTAAACGTGGATAAGTTGGCTGTTTTCCCCTGAGCTTGAGAACAGCGGCCATTCACGCTTTGGAAGTCAGGCCAACAAATCTAGAGAATGCAAATAGCGCGTTGGAGATCTGTGAAAGCCTTTCTTCCCCTGCAGACCTCTATCGCCGAATGGATTGCTTTGCAATTCTGAAGGGGATACAAGAATAGGGAAGAAAAGAAGAAAAGAATGTGTTGGCTTTGTCTGCCTGTGGTTTGCGTGGAGGGTGATTTTTTTTTTCTTTTTTGGATGAAAAGTGGGATCTTAATGGGCGCTCACAGCCGGCTCAGGCAGCCTCTGAAAGCTCCTCTTGTCAGACAGCGCCCTGGAGAGAAGGACCCATTGTTCTCGAAATCTGAAGTTATCACTCTTCCCTTTATCCTTTCTTTAGGAGCTTTTAGTGTTTGCTTTATCAGAATATTTTAATCCCTACTATGGTGACTGGGTGTAATTTATCTCATTAAGCCTCTCCTATTTTCTTCTGTTTACATGACTAATATTATTGTGTTTTATAGAGCTTATCCCAACAAGCCACTCCTTTGTCCCATTGTTTCAGCTCTAGGCCAAAAATCAACAAATGAAGTTTTATCTTTCCAATCTTGGACCTCACCTGCTTGTCATTCAGTTTGTATAGATTGCATGAAGAGCATGTTCTTTTGAAAACAAAGCAAGGATTCATTTTATGACCTAAAAACAAACAGTAACCTTTCTAGAGAGGTCCTGGTCTCTTTTTATGAGTATAGACTGGCAAAGACTCACCTTACTGGGGAAAAAAAGCCTATACTTCCTTGTGGGTTGAGAGCCCAAAGTCCCCTGGCAATAATGCCCCACTCCCTAGCTTACATTTCTTTCATAGTATATAGAATATCCGAGAAGCAGAGACCTGAGCACTGAAAGCACCTGTTGAGGTTATCGCCTCCAAACCCCCTCGACCCCGGACCGTCAGCAAGACCACACCCAAGCCAGACTGAGCCAGCCAGAGGAGAATCAGTCTTGTTTTAAAGGCATACGAAGGAGAACCTTCTCTCAACCAGTCGCATATTTGAAATACCACGTGAGAAAGTGCCTTTTCTAAAAATCCAGCCTATAAAAGTGTTGTCATTTCTTCAATTACTCTTTTTCTTTTCCATTGAAACTAACTGGGTACCCTCTTCATGGAGTCAACAATTTAACGAGCAATAACTTCCTCCGAGGCAGTGGTTCTCTGACTTCAGTGCGTATCAGCATCACCTGCGGGCTTATTGAAAACTCAGATTGCTGGACCACCCCCCCTCCCCCCGCCTCCCCCCCCTCCCCGCTGAGTTTCTGATTACAGAGGTGGAGGAAGGCTTGGGAATTTGCATTTCCAGCAAGTTCTCAGGTGATGCTGATCCTGCTGGATCGGGGACCACACTTTGAGAACTGCTGATATGAGGCCCAGGGCTAGGAGCTCTAAAGGAGAAATAGGAGAATTAAGAGGCAGAAACAAGTGGATTCACAAGTTAAACAAGTTAACCTCCCTATTAAAAGGGGAGTTAGAGGAGTTAGCCTCTCCATCGAAAATGCGCAGAGCCTATCAGATAAGGTCTTTGCTGTCACCGAGCTGACAAGCTCAAAGTCCTGTGGGAGGCAGACTGCAAACAGTAGTTTAGGATGTTAGCCGTTAACACAGGGAACTGTGAGCACAGAAGAGGAACACAGTGTTCAGGCTTGGTGGCGAAGAGGCCAGGAAGGCTTCCGGCAGAGTTGACTCCTAAAGAAGGGAAGGTATCCAGACAAAGGGGCAGGGCCAGGCTTGGCCTCTTCCAGCAGAGGGACCTGTGTGGAATTAAAGAGGGGCTGTGGAGATGTCCTGGAAGAGCAAGTCATCCAACTTTCCCAAAGGGAAGAGTGGCAAGTGAGGTGGCGATGACAGAGCTGCAGGGGTAGGCAGGGGCTTGATCAAGAAGGAACGCCAGAGCAGGTTTAAGGAGTTTGAGGATATTCTGAAGACTATTATTGACATAGAGTAGAAAGAATGATTTACTAAGGCTCCATATAATGGCACATCAGAGATGAAAAGAGAACAGAGAACACAGCTATCTCCAATCCTTGTACTTCCTTCTCTGTAACTGGGACTTCTCTACCCGATTTCCTCTGGTTTCCAGCTGATGTCAGGGCCTTCCAGACCTTCTAGCCTAGGTGTAGACAAAATTCTCTTTCCTTTTAATTTAGTTGAGAGATTTTGGAATTTCATAAAGGGAAATTTGTAAAGACACTGGGCAAATACAAAACCAAAGGGAACAAAGAGAATAAGTTGGGTCTAGAAGTAAACAGACTAGGCTTCTAGCTCCATCTTTTGCTATCTATACAGACTTGAGTATGTTATTTAACTTCTTGTACCATAGTTTCTATATTTAAATAGAGACCTAATTCCTGACAAGATCCACAAGATCTTACATGTTGTCATCCCTACCTGCCTTTCAACCTCATCTTATATCCACTGATCCTCACTCTTCCTGCTCCAATTATGTAAACCTTTCAATCTTGTGTCTATCATGCTCCTTTCTACTACAGGGCCTTTGTATGTGCTGATTCCTCCATCTGGAAGTCCTCTTCTTCAGTAATTACTACATTTAGATCTAAGGCCCACTCCCTCTAGGAAATCTCTGATCTCTGAATGGGTAAAATCCCTCCTTTTATAGGCTTTTTTAGTATCAGGAACTTTTAGTTGAAAGCACTTCATAGTTGTTATTTGTGTAATTATTTGCTTAATGTTTGTCTCTTCTACTGGATCAGGGGTCAGCAAACTATAGCCAACTTTGGCCTGCAGTCTGTTTTTGTAAATAAAGTTTTATGGGAACACAGCCATGCCCACTTATTTCCACACTATCAGTGTCCACTTTGGTACTACAGTGGCAGAGTTGAGTAGTTGCAGCAGAGACTTTATGGCTCACAAAACCTAAAATATTCCCTGTCTGTCCCTTTACGGAAAAGCCTTGCCAACTCCTGTCCCAGACTACGGTCTCCATGAGAGTGGGGACAGGGTCTGGTCAAGCTTGCTCGCCTCTCTTCAGCATCTGGCACAGCGTCTGCTACGGAGAAGATACACAATGAATATTTGTTTTTGTTTTTTCTCAATAAATACAAGGAGATTATTTAAATATGTATTTTACCAGACTGTTAAAAGGGTTAAATAAGATAATATACATGAAGAACTCAGCAATATAAAGCCAGGAACATAGCAGATGATTAATAAGTATTAGCAGTTTTTATTATTTCAGTTGTTCCTTAATGCATTTTGGTCTTCTCTCTGGGTCTAGACCTAAGCCGTTCCCTGGCCCTGGGCTGAGTCGCGTTCCTGTCCTGCCATCCCTTGTCCTCTGGCCTTGACCTCCTGAGAAAGGCATTTATTTGCATTTTGGGCTCCAAGATTCCTTCCTTGGACTCAGATTCTTGCAATGACTTCTTGACCCCTCGTAGAGATTTCCTTCTAGGATGTTCAGTCCATTTGAAGCGTATTATTCTCGCCCCTTGTTGTAGCCTTAGGGTGACACTCCTTTAACCTGTCCCTGGGGCTTAGCTTCACCAGGGTCATCGAAATGATGGCAGTTCCATCTTATTTTGTGGCCACCTCCTCTGGGGACAGCAGGTAACTTCTTTCTTGTGGTTCCACAGGAGAAGCTGTAGGATTGGAGGAGAGCTCCTCATGAGAGAGCGGTGAGCAGAGGCTCAGGGAACTCAACCTGTGTGGCTTTAAAAGGGAGAGGAAGGAGGGATCAAAGCCCAGCCCGAGGCTGGGCAGCCTGGAGGAGGGAGACTTGAGTAAAACCAGGGGTCAGCCAACTGTGACCGCTGGGCCAAATCCAGCCTGCCTCCCATTTTTCTGTGCCTCTCACATTAAGAATGGCTTTCACCTTTTTAAATGGTTGGGGGGGGAAAAATCAAAAGAGGGGCGCCGGCCCCATGGCATAGCGGTTGAGTTCGCACACTCCGTTTCGGCCACCCCTGGCTGGCCGGTTTGGATCCTGGCGCGGACCTACGCACTGCTTGTCAAGCCATGCTGTGGCAGGTGTCCCACATACAAAGTCGAGGAAGATGGGCACGGGTGTTAGCTCAGGGCCAATCTTCCTCAAAAAAAGAAAATCATAAGAGGAATAATTTGTGACATGTAAACATTATATGAAATTGGAATTTGTGTTCAGAAATAGACAGCAGCAGTTAAGTAGTTAGCATCAGAGACAGTGCGGCCCATAAAGGTGAAAATACTTGCTGTCTAGCCCGTTAGAGGAAGTTTGCCAACCCCCGAGTTACACTACGAGCCTGAGCTGTGGCCGTGCCTTTGCCCTGAGCCCATCAGAGCATCTTCTGTGATCAGTGTCGCAGGACCTCTACAAACCCCACCAGGTCGCATCTCAGGGCACAGCCCAAGGTGCGCCGAGAGAGACAGGGTTAATTAAAGGAATCATTTCTCAAGGAGGTGGAAAGGGATGAGGTAAGAGAACCTCACAGTCTGGTTCAAATGGTGGTCTCACCGCTTAGAGCAGTGGGACCTCGAGCTAGCCTCTTCACTTCTCTCAGCCACCGTTCCCGTATTTTAAAATCTGAATACCTATACTCTGAGATAAATCGTGGTGTTGTAAGGACTGAATCAGCTAATGCATGCAACAATGCCTGGCTGAGAGTAGGCACTCAATAAATATTCACCACTATGACTACGATTGGATGGAATACACCAGCAGAAGAGTTGGCTGTAGAGAGGAGAAAGCCATTTCACTAAGTGTAGCATGTGGAATCGAATAAACAAACAATAGACCCTGGAGACAGACAGACTGGGGTTCAGTTCTGTCTCTGCTAGTGATCCCTGTATGCATCACTGCTGTGTGATCTTAGTAAAGTTGATTAACTTCTCTGAGCCTCAGTGTCACCCTCCCTTCCCTTATGTAACTTATATGTCAACTGGGGACTTCCTACTCTTTGATTTAGGAAACGTTTCCTTATGGTACCACCTGTCGCCATCTCACGTGAAACATATGGGGCTTCTGTTTTACTCTACGCCGACAAACCCATTCAGAAAATTCTCTTTCAGCAAGCATTTCACGAGTTTACTCAGTTTATTGGAGAATTGAAGAGTTACAGTTTTGAGAGTGGGGGCATACTGTGCCCTCCAAACCTCCTCTCTCCTGTTGCCTCTGCCTCTCTTCTTCCCGCGTGAGGGGCCCAGGACTCCCTCGCTTTCTCCACACACTTCCCCATATCCCTCTTTACAGCCCAGAGAGGCTGAGCCACACGTTTTCCCACCAGTGGTTCTGTCCCCAAGAGGAATTCGCCTACCAGCTGCTAAAAGAATAAATTTCCTCTATCCCCTGACAAGCAAAATAGGGATAACTGTGCCACCTCACAAGGTGTTTGTGGAAATTAAGTGAGGTAATGCATCTGCCAGCTCCTGGCGTGTGGAAGACGGTCAATAAATGTTACTTCCGTCCCGTCTCGATTCTTCCTTTGAGATTTGAAGGAGCAAAGAGTGAAGCTGAGAGAGATTCTGAGGTGGGGACAAGGGTAGATAAAGCAGCCAGGAAGGTCATCTCCTTGACCATTGCCCTCCAGGAAAGTAGAAGAGATTCTGTGCCAAGAGAAACTGGAAGAGGTGGAGGGGCCCAGGGCGGAAGCCAGACAAGTCTGGTTTATCTTGGAGTCCATCCAAAAGGGTTTAGTTACTGAAACAGCAGTTCCTCTGCATAAATCATTCAGGTTCTTGAAAAATATTATTAAATCACTCCAGCGTCATAAATAATCCTAATTTTATTAATCTTACCTTTCAGGCCAAGGCGGAGCTCCCGCAAGGCTCCCTCTCCGGAGCGCCTCGCCGAGAGGGGAAGGTCCCCAGGTGGAGGGCAGTCCCTCAGCTGGGGCCTGATGGTATTAGGTGGCCTGCAGTTTAAACTGGCATTCCCTGAGGTTTCCCAAAGCCTTTCAGATTTAGACTCTTTTTAGTAATCTTTCCTTGGGCGTAGGACTCAGAGCGGGAGGTTTATTAGCATGGTTCTGCGTGCGGAGGCATGGGAATTCGGGAATTCCATTGCTTGACTACTTGCGCTTGTCTGATGTCCTGTTTGCATTTGTACTCTTTTTCGTCTTTTTTTTTTAACCACAGAATTCTTTTTTTTTAACTTTTTCCAAAAGGGCTGATAGATGGCTCTCTTCCATTTTGCTGTGGGCCAAGGATGTTTCTCCCCAATGTTGTGAAAACAAATGCCTGTGATTAGTCAATGCCAAATTGCAGGCTAATACCTCAGAGGCCCTTGCTGTCCTCCCCAACTGCCCCCACCGTATTGCTCCCTCTTTTTTTCTAACGGAGGGATTTCTCATAGTTTTTCTTTCCAAAGTGAAGATAAATTGAAGAGTGGCAGCACCTGTTTCTGTTATGTGGCATTGATTCGGGCTAAAAAATCTAGTTTAGGAAACATAGATTTAGTTCCTGTTATGTTAGTCCTCTATGTGTCTTCTGAAAGATTCTTCATTAAATGTTTTGGTTTTATGACTTAATGTTTTCCCCAAATATAAAAATAATTTGCAACACCGAAAAATATGAAGAAATGTAAACAAAAACCATGCATAACATCCTTCTATCCTCAAGAACTCCACTGTTAATGTCTTGGTGCATTTTCCTGGAGTTTTGTTTTCTCTACAAATGTGTGTATGTAGTTACAAACGTGATCCTGTGGAACACACAGTTTGAAGCCTGCTTTTCTACTTAGGTTTCTTTCATGAGTGTTTCCTAGTCAATAAAAAGGCTTCATAAGCACCCGTCTTAGTGGCTGCATAATACTTGTAGTATTGCAGTGCCCTAACCAGCTCAATCATTCTTAGGTTGTTCCGCAGCTGTGTGCAGTTTTTCACCATCTAAATGATGCTGCCATGAGCTTCTTTGCACCTTGTTCTTGCATATCTGAAAATTCCCATAGAAAGTATTCCTAGAAGTAGGATTACTGGCAAAATAGATTCCTGGAAGCTCACTTTAGTCTTTACTGACTTTAGTAAGCCGAGTGTGTTTCATCTTGGATCTGATAAGTGTTTAGTAACTAAAATAGCAAAATGACTGGCTAATTTTTGCCTGTACGGTGGTTTCGTGGTATGGAGCTGGAGGACAATATAATATAATGATGTTGCATTGTAATTATGATTTGGTGATATGCCAAGGTGATAATAATAATAATAAAAGCTAACATTATTGGGTGGTTAATATGTGCGAGGCCCTGTTTTAAGTGTTTTACAGCTATGAACTGATTTAATCTCACTGCAACTCCAGGAGGTGGCTGTATTATTTTCCCCATTTTACAGATGGGAGAATTGAGGGCCCAGAGGGGTGAAACTACAAGGTAAGTGAGTGAACCAGGATTTAAACCCAAGCATTTTGACCAGGAGCCCATGCCCTAACCACTGAACGAGCCTGCCTGGAAATAACCAAGTGGGTAAGATTCCTCACCCCTGCACACTGAGACTGCCTGGCGGGTCTGCCTGCGCTGGAAGGCCGCCGGTGACTCCTCAGCTGGCTGCTGAGTTACGGCTCTCCTTTCCCCCTGGCCTTCTTCCTCCCTTCACTGGCTCTGTGCTGCCTGGCTGAGGGCAGGAGAGAAACCAAACTCCTGCAAAGTACCCAATTCTGTATCTGAAAGGAAAGAGGAATATATATCAGGGTGGCCTCAGGAAGCTGCTTATTGGGAAAGAGAAGGGGGGAAAAATTGAAACAAAACAGCTTTAGGGATTTAAGTGTTTTGTTATGTTTTTATTTTTGCTTTTTGTTAGAGTGTTAGGCTTGCCTCATTAGCAGTAATATTTCCCTTCCATTTTCCCCCAATTCCATTTCCATGGATTCTCAGCTCATCTGATGGCGCAGGAGTTCCTGGAGACACGGAGACCGTGGATTCTGAAGGAGGTAACTGATCATTCTGATCCTGTCCACTGCACATCACCTTGGCTACACATGACCTCCAAACCTCTGTTCAACTTGGACGGTTCTAAAGGCGCCTCATGGAGAACGCTGCTCGGGACTGAAGTCCTGATTAATAGCCATTTTCTTTTGTCCCACCTCCTTAGGTTTCCTTAAAATAATACTGGTGTTAGAAAAGACTACAGGAGGTGATTCTATTTCGGTAAAGTCAACTGGTGCTGTGGTGAAACAAAACACAACCACCGCAGCAAAAAATAAACACGGCAGCAAAGCCATCCGCTTCACCTTCCTCCTTCGCGGGTCCCTTAGGGAACCCCGCCAGAGCGCTTGCCTGTGTTCGCACTGGCTCGGGTGGAAATGTGCACAACTTCGAACAGCACCCGCCGTGAACCAGGGAAGAAAAGAACCACAGAACCTTTCAGGGAGTGCTGCCAGCATAGACGTCCTCCCAGGACATTAGGTCTCTGCAGTGGGGGCCTCTGAACAGCCAGAAATATGCTTTAAGTGTCTGCTCTGCCTGGACCTGGCATAGAGAGTGTGCAACCAATGTTTGCTGAATTGCAGTGGGCTCTGTTGAGTTAGAGCGGGGGGAATAGGAAAAGGTACAAATAGAGATGCTTTTTCCTTTTATTTTGAGATAGTCTAACGCTAATTAAGTGTTTACTATGGGCCAGGCACTGTCCTAAGCACTTTCTATGCATTATTTCTTTTAATTCTCAAAACATTCCTATGAGCTAGGTTTTTTTTGTTAAAAGGACTTGATTCTTTTTTTTTTTTTTTAAGATTTTTTTAATTTTTCCTTTTTCTCTCAAAGTCCCCCGGTACATAGTTGTGTATTTTCGGTTGTAGGTTCTTCTAGTTGTGGCATGTGGGACGCTGCCTCAGCATGGCTTGATGAGTGGTATCATGTCCACACCCAGGATTTGAACCGGCAAAACCCTCAGCCATCGAAGCAAAGCACGTGAACTTAACCACTCAGCCACAGGGCCAGCCCCAAGGACTTGATTCTTTTTAGAGCAGTTTTAGGTTGACAGCAAAATTGAGAGGAAGGTACACAGATTTCCCATATGCCCTCAAACCCCTACACACTCATAGCCTCCCCCATTAGCAACATCCCCCAATAGAGTGGTACATTTGCTACAATTGATGCACCTCATGGATACCTCATTACCACCCAAAGTCCATAGTTCACCTTAGGGTTCACTCTTGGTGGTGTTCAATCTATGGATTTGGACAAATGTCTCAAGACATATGTCTGTCATTATGGTAACATACAGAGTATTTTCACAACCCTAAGAATCCTCTGTTCACCACCTATTTGTACCCGAAGATAGGTTATTTTTAATATTTCCGTTTTATAGATAAGGACACTGAGGCTGAATGACTTCCCCAAGGTCATAAAGCTAGCATGGGGCAGATTGGAACCTACACAGTCTCTCAAGCCATTGACACTCCCTGCCTCTCAGATCGAGGACCCTAATTTTCTGTGAGAGGTTTATCTATGTAGCATCCTGAGGAAAAATTACAATGGAGTTTGTACCCTAACAAACATATATATAATATGTTTTATATATTTATATATTATATTTTATATATTTTATTACAAAGAATATTATTTGCATCATTAAATCATATATGTAATTATATGCATTTCTACAGATTGATCAGCGATATAGTAAGGCTAGTTTGACCAATGTCTTATAATTAGTGAAGTATTTTTAAACATTTTGAAGGTAACGTGCATGCAGAAAAATGTACATTTCCTATGTGTACAGCTTCATGAACTTTCATAAACTGGAAACTAATGTATCCACCCTCTCAGAACAAGAAACAAAACATTACCAGCGCCCAAGAGACCCTGTCCAGTCTCTCCCTTCCCCAGGGGTGACCTCTGTCCTGACTTCCAAGTCTTGGCTGTTGTGAATAATGCCGCAATGAACATAGGGGTGCATGTATCTTTATGCGTTTGTGTTCTCATGGTCTTTGGATAAATACCCAGCAGTGGAATAGGTAGATTGTAGGGCAGGTCTGTTCTTAATTTTTTGAGGAATCTCCATACTGTTTTCGATAGTGGCTGCCCCAGTTTGCACTCCCACCAGCAGTGTATGAAGGTTCCCTTCTCTCCACATCCTCTCCAACACTTGTTGTTTCCTGTCTTGTTAATTATAGTCATTCTGATGGGAGTGAGGTGATATCTCATTGTAGTTTTGATTTGCATTTTCCTGATAGCTAATGATGTTGAGCGTCTTTTCATATGCCTGTTGGCCATCTGTACATCTTCTTTGGAAAAGAGTCTGTTCAGATCCTCTGCTCATTTTGTAATTGGGTTGTTTGTTTTTGTTGTTGTTGAGATGTATGCATTCTTTATATATTTAGGATATTAACCCCTTATCCTGACTTCTAACACCACAGATTAGTTAGCAAAGGGAAATTTTTAATAGGGGAAAAATTATGAAAGTTCATCAAGAATCCTCAGTTTCCTTGAGGGCCTCTGTGATCTCTAGTTGGCCCAGTTGCTCAGAGGCCCTAAAAGCAGTTAAGAAGTAGTAAAATAAGAGGTCAATTCCACATTAGAAGATAGACTTTAGGGCCGGCCCCGTGGCACAGTGGTTAAGTGCGCACATTCCGCTTTGGCAGACTGGGGTTCACCGGTTCAGATTCCAGGTGCAGACATGGCATCGCTTGGCAAGCCATGCTGTGGTAGGCATCCCACATATAAAAGTAGAGGAAGATGGGCACGGATGTTAGCTCAGGGCCAGTCTTCCGCAGCAAAAAGAGGAGGACTGACAGCTGATGTTAGCTTAGGGCTACTCTTCCTCAAAAAAAAGAAATAAAAAAGATTAATCATTGAGTTCAGTCTCCTTGAGCTCACATCACTCCAGATCCACTTCCTTTGTTGTTGTGGAGATCCAGAAGCACCCCTTCAGATAATCGTGAGAGTGAAATGGGAAAGGGGAGGAGGTTGGTATGCACCTATCTAAGCAGATTTGTAAACCAAATGACCAGCAAATTACTGCAGTCCTCCCTTATCCAAGATTTTGCCTTCCAGGGTTTCAGATATGCATGATCAACCATGATCTGCAAATATTAAATGGGAAAAAAAAATTGTATGATGAGGTTGCCAAAATCTCCAGTAACTTTTGTTACAGTCTGTTATGATAATTGTCCTATTTTATTATTAGTTATTGTTAATCTCTTACTGTACCGAATTTATAAATTGAGCTTTATCACAGGTATGGATATATAGCAGAAAGCATATTTTATGTAGGGTCAGTACTATACGTGGTTTTAGGCACCCACTAGGGGTCTTGGAACAAATCCCCATGGATAAGGGGGGACTGTTGTAAAGGGGAATCTACGGTAGGGTTTTATGTACAGATAAAAACATCCAGTATACTTTCTAACATTGAAGAATTATACTAGCTGTATTGTCGTGTTTGGAAGCTGCTGAGTCTGGCTTGTAAGAATTCTTGAGGAAGTTGGGGTGTGGGGGTAGCAGCCATGTTGGTGCAGTGTGGCCCTTCCCCGTGTTAACTGATTGGACCAGAAGCAGACATCTGACTCAGGGCCAGCCGATTAGATCCTCTCTCCCAGGAACTCATCACTGGAATGAAAGGGTGCTAGTTAGTGTGGTCTGATCTCTTAAACCAGGAGCACACGAACTCTGTGACTGCAGAGAGAAGGAAGAGGTGCTGAAAGACAGAAATGAGGGCCATGAAGACAGAGACTGAAGAAGAAGACAGAAGATGAGAGGGATGACACTGGAGCAAAGTAGCGATTGGCTGCTGCGGGTTTTCTGATTTAGTTCCTGTTCAACCCATCGTGAGACCTAGCTGTGCCTCTTCTTCTGGCGCTCCGTTAGATACTCTCCAATCTTTATACTGTAACCTTCTCCACTATTTTGATAATGCTAACCTGAAGGGCTTCTGTTATGTCCTGCTGCAGCTACAATGGCTATGTAACAAATCACCCCAAAATTTAGTGGTTTAAAAACAACACTTATTTTGTTTACAAATCTGCAGTCTGAGCAGGACTTGCTGTCAGCTTGTTTCTGCTCCAACTTGGTTTCATGGGTGGCAATTTGAAGAGCAGGGGCTAAAACTGAATTCTTATGTATGCCGAGTACTTGGGCTGGAAGACTCAAGGAGAGGGGCCTGGAAGAGTTGGGCGGCATGGAAGTCTCTCTGTTTCTCTGTGGTGTCTTCATCATGGTGGCTTCAAGGCAGAAGGGTTTTCACTGGGAGGCTCAAGGCTCCATAGGCACAGGTCCCAAGGAGAAAGGGCCAGGTGGAAGCCATATCATCTTTTATGACCTAGCCTCAGAAATCATGCAGTGTTATTTCCACCTCATCCTATTTGTGGGGGCCAGGTTCAACGGGACCCTACATATCAATGAAGGAATGTCACCATCACATTGTCTGAAGAACATGTGGCCAGAATGTTTACTAGTGTGGACATCTTTAGAAAATAGAATCAGTCACACTTGTAAGCAAAAGGGCCTTTGTTAACACATGGAATAACCCCTAAAACTCAAAAAGGTATTAGAGTTCCCAGAAAATTATCAACATTGTGATGGAAAATGGGTTGGTTGGTGGGTACAATGAGAATTCTTTCTTTTTTTCCCTACTCTGAATTAATGAACATTAAATTTATTCATAGGTGTTCTCACTGGGTTCTGCTCAGTAAGCAGCATTTTAAACACGACTTGTCTCCTTGATTGCTATCTTATATTTTATTTTATCATATAATTAGGCACAGATCAAGTTCAGTTCCCTTGTTGTGTATAGCAAAAAGTTTCTGGTCATTTTATTTTATTTTTTTTATTTTTCTTTCCTGACGAAGATTCACCCTGAGCTAATGTCTGTTGTCAGTCTTCCTCTATTTCGTATGTGGGTCACTGCCACAGCATGGCTGCCAGTGAGTGGTGTCGGTCCGCACTCAGAAATGGAACCCAGGCTGCCAAAGCAGAGCACGCCAAACTTAACCACTTGGCCATGGGGCTGGCCTCTCTGGTCATCTTAATTTTAAATGTCATTCGTAAGCATATCCTTTCTTGCTTGGTGAATGAGATTTTCCTTCCAACTGGACCCTTCTCATGCTTTTAATAAATAATGATGCAGGTTTCCAGGGTCTAAAATACTCCTGAGCTGTAAAGTAGGCACTGCCGAAAGATGTATTAACTCCTTCAGGCCTCCAAGGTGCTATTTAAAATGTTATTGCTTCATATCCCATAATAGAAGCTTGAACCTTATTGATGGCCTTTCTCTTGATGGCAGGGGCTGGGGGACTGTGAAGGCCAGGAGAGGAAGAGTTGGTGAACTGGAACAGGAAGCTGAATTAACTCTTTCAGCAAGGCTTAGAAGAGAGGATTTTAGTCTTATAAACTCTAAAGCCCAAAAGATACTGGAGCTTTCAGAATAAATCAGTAGCTAAGGTAGTGTTATTAGATGTAATAATTGCTGGAAGGATGAAATCCTTGTCAGTGCTGCCTGAAAATAGTACATTCTATACTTACTCTATGGCAATGCTTCCAATACTGTACTGAAGTGAACTATTAAAATATGCACATTCTGATTACATACAGAAAATTTCAAATTGTCATCTTTTTATTATTAATAAAAGGTCACTCAGGTTCATATAAACATCCTCAATTCATAAGTTCAGCCTGTTATTTGAAATATGGAATAGAAAGATAAGACCATTGATGGTGAGTTTTTAAAGTCCTGCCTATAATGATGAAGGAAAATGCATGGGTTTAGGGACAACCTGGATTATAGGTATATTTTGGATCCTATACAACTAGTGGTCAGGCAAATGTTTAACAACTAGCTCTCCAGTGGGGGAAAAACCCTGACTTTAAGTATTTGCCAATTTCTGTGGTGAAATATTTCCACTATAACTGATTTCCCATTTCCAATATGGCATCACAGAATGTAGAATTGTGAGGAGATATGCTCAGTTGGCTCTTGTGAGCTATGTGAGCCAGTCCTACACTTTACTGTTTACAATTTTTGGAAAGCCCATTGTATGATTCCTGGATAAACCTTGATATAGTACTAGAGGAAAACAAGACAAATTTTGGGTGGCAAGTCCTGTGGCAGAGACATTCAGTGCTCATTGAATCTCCTTTCACTCCCCTACATTTCTTGTTGGCCAATGGACTGGAAGAAGAAGAGATGGAAACATGTAAATTTGGTATGCAACTCCCCCATCCGTTCTGCGCTTGACAGTGCAAAAAGGACGTCACGTGTTTCCAGTGGTGTAGATCTAAGATGATGGGATCTGTATCAACATGGTTCCATAAATGTCTGTGTGGAGCCCAACTCCCATTCACCAGCACTGGACGTGTACCATGCTTTAGTTAGTGGTTGCTGCCTAACAAGCCATTGCATACAGAATGGCTTAAAATGATAATTTGTTGTTAATCTCACAGTTCTGTGGGTTGGCTGGGCTCACTTAGGGTTGCATGTGGTTGTACTCGAAGGTGCCTGAGGCTGGAGTCCTTGGGAAGCTTGACTAGAGTTGAACTGAAGATGGCTTCTTTGCTCAGGTCTGGTACCTCAGTGCTCCTCCACATGGAGTCTCAGTCTCTAGACATCTCTATGTGGCCTCTCTTTGCAGTAGGATGTCCTATATCACGAGTGACTTCAAATGCAGAGGCTGTCAGGATTTCCTAAGGTTTAGGCTGGACACTGTCACAGTGTCGCTTTTGCCACATTTCTTGGTTAAAGTGAGTCATGGGATCAGTGCAGAGACAGAGTGGGAGGTGACCATACAAGGATGTGACTACCAGGAGGTAAGAGTCCTTGGAGCCCTCTTTGAAGATTAGCTCCCATACCACAAGAAATAAAAGTTTGTTTTGTTAAGCCACTTAGATGTCAGGGTTAATTTGTTCCCTTGGCAAAACCTAGCATAATCTGACTAATCCAGAAATTGGTACTGTATTAGTGAAGATAAGGTAGGCTGTGCTGTAAAAACATGCCTCAAAATCTTAGCAGCTTAACACATGGTCCTCTGGGGGTCTGATGGCTCTCCAGGACTGCCACCTTCTGGTGGTGACTCAGGGGTCCAGGCCACCTGAATTATGTTGTTACACCAGCTGCAGTGTGCCTTCCAGCTCACTGGGGCAGGAGGAAAGAGGACAAGAGGAACTCATAGCTCTTACATACTTATTGGCCAGAAGTACTCACATGCCCCTTGCCCCAACTGTAAGCGGGCTGGGACATTTAGGAGAGCACATGGATATTTGGTGATTACCAAATGTCTCTGCCATAAAGTCATGTGGAGCTCTTTGTCTCTTTTGTTTGTCCTCCCTTCCCTTTCCCCTCTATAAGAAATTTAAGAAAAAGAGAGAGTGGAGTGGGGAGGAAGAAAGGAAGCAACGAAGGAGTGAAAGATAGATTCAAGCAAGCTGGGAGGGAGGGGAGGAAGAATAGCAGATGGGATTTACAGGATGTAAAATATGACCACTAAATCATCAAGAAAACAAAACTATTAACAGGTCACTAAAAGAGGCTTTCACTGTGTTTTTATCCTGTTTTCTTTTTAATCAGTAATGATAAGGAAACTAAACCAGATTAAGTGCTATCTCTTTGGAGGTACAAAGGCAAACAAGGGGAAAGAAGTGATTGAAGAGCACTTCAGAAAGCTTGGTACATGCAAATCAGCAGGCCTGATTACTCACGTCCCAGGGCACTTAAGGAATTGGCAAATGTAATTGCAAGACCACCAGCTTTTATTAGAAAAGGAAGGTTGGACAGGAGGAGGTCCTGACAAGTGGAATCAGCAGATGGAGTACTTGTTTTTTTAAAACAGGGAAAGGCATGACCATAGTAATTATAGACTAGTCAGCTTATCTTGGATACCTGGGAAGATACAAGAACAAATCATCAAACAATCAATTTGCAACCACCTAGAACAGCACAAGGTACTGGGTAGTAATCAACATGATTTTGTGAAGTACAAATTAGGCCAGACCAATTTAATTTTATCTATGAGAGAGTGGTGAGCCTGGCAGAAGAGGGGAAAGCAATACCTACAATTGGACTTCACTAAGGTGTTTTTTTTGTTTTTCAATTCCACCCCCTGACATTTTTAGCATCAACTCTCAGAGAGGATGCTACCTGGAACAACAGTTGAGTGGGCATGACTCTGGAAGAGGCACTCAAAGTGGTGAAAACAAAGATTCTGCTCCAGGCTGACAAGGTTATTAATAAGATTATTATTATTATTTTTATTTTAATCAATTGATGTGGACAAGATGACAGTAGAGAAGAAGGTGTTGAGCTGCAAATAGCGTTCTCCACCCCTGATGGGAAATACGAGAAAAGAGGAGTTGTAAAAACAAATCTAAGAAGTCCAAAAGCTAAGTAATGTGAGATCCAGAAAGGGAGAACAGAGAAAATAGTAAAAGAGAAATTACATAAGAAAATTTCTGGGAAAAGGACATATGTCTTTACATTAAAAGAGAACCCCTAAGGGCCAACTACAATAAATGGGGAAAATAACCCAGTTGGACACAACTTTGTAAAATTTTGTAACTCTAAGAATAAATAAAACTTTCTAAAAGCTTCCAGAGAGAAAAATTAGGCCACCTACAGACGAATGAAAATTAAGCACCCAAATTCTCATTAACATCTCTAGCTGCTGGGGGGTAATAGAGTAATCCTTTCAGTTCTGGGGGATATTGAATTTGAAAATAATTTTCATATTTGGCCAACCTATCAATCAACTGCAAGAGGAGAATATAGGCATTTCATATAAACCATCACTCAGAAAATTTACTTCTTAAGACCCTTTCTTAAAAAATTACTTGACTATGTATTCCAGCAGAATGAGGAAGTTATCTAAGAAAGGTGGCAAGGGACCTCACACAGGAAGGAAAAGTAGAGTATGAGACAAAATCATTCCTTTTGGAGCAGGAAAATGAAGAGCTCCAAAGGGAAGGACTCTAGGGCAAAAGAGAACTCCATGGAGTTCAGAGTGTGATTGAGAGAAGAAAACAAAAACAGAAATACTTGGGTATAAGATAAAGTATGTATTTAGTCAATAAAAAGATAGGCAATTAAGAATTCCAGAAAAAACAAAAAGCTAATTGAGAATGTTATAGTCCACTTTTGAAGAATAAGCGTTTTATGATTTTCGGTAACATATGAAGTATGAGAGAAAGACTAGTACATGGTGCCAAAACCTCCTTCTTTGAGTAGGTGAGGGGTTATGACACTGCTGTTGTAGAAAAGGAAATGGCGATCCTAACATGCTGTTTAGCTCAGCAGTGCACAATATTGTTGTAGTCTTAATAATGTAAGTACTCTGATTGGGTTTAAACTCTTACAGTCAACCTAAGGACAAAGAAAGGAGGTCCTGGTTATTTTGCAGAATAGAAAAGCAGACATTAATCTTCATTATATAAAAGTGTAGCCAACAGATGGTGGGAAGTGGAAAGTGAAGAAAATATGAAGGGAAGGATAGTATACCTGCAGCTTCTATAATGGGAAGTTAAGATACTGACTCAAGGTTTTAAAATGAGAAATTGAGGCATTATGTACTATTTAAAGTTACAAGGGTAACCACAACAAAACTTAAAAATAGCGATTTAACCACCCAACACTGGGAGGAGTTGGGAGGTAAATGAAGATAACATAAATTGGCTAAATTCTCATCTTTTGTAACTGGAAATAACCAAGAAATTGAAAAGAGGAATAATTTTCCAGACACTTCATATATTCAAAGTATTCATAATTCATGAGTGATTTTCCATAGGCATACGTGTAAGGTCATGGGAGTTCAACCTTAGAGCGCAGCTATCAACAAACTCTAGCTTAAGGCCACATTATGGTGCCATTGATCTTGCAGCCATGGCATTTTTTTCCATTCTATTATTGATGCCCAGTTACAAGATTATATTTGCAAACTTAAAGTTGGGGAAGGACTTTAACTTCCAACTTAAATTTAAAAATATGCTCTTTTAAATGTTCTCAGAATTATCTCTAATATTTCACAGAATACTTCATAGCATAGTACATGGCCATGTGGCCTCTTTATACTGTTTATTACATCTAACTTCTGGTCCAAAAGAATATATGCTCAGAATTGTTTTTGCTCCCACTGAATGAAAGCTTAGATGACCTTGTTACAGGATAAAAACTATTTTAAAATTATAACTCTGAAAATTAAAATAACATAAAAGCCACTTGAATCATTTCTAGATGTTCCCATGCCCTGAAATAACAGCATGGTTCACAAGCTACTGTTAAATTATGGCAGGTGCAAGTAAAACTGCCGTAACCTCGTAGGCGAGGTCTAAAAACTCCAATCACATGACATTTGGAGCCAATTTAGTGCAAAGTTAATGAAATGACCAAGGTGAGCTGACTGCAAGAGGACAGGAGCCAGTCACCAAACTCATCCTGTCCAAATTCCCATTATCTAGGAGTGTGTAATTACAAGTTCCATTGTACTTCTGATTACTGGCTAAAGTGGCCTGCCACGTAGCCACACAGATAAACACAGTTGCCATACACACTGCCTCCTAGTCTTAACTTATGCAATTCTTGATTACTCTTGGCAGGAGTTAAACTATTTCAAG